ATACAAATGTAGAGCATTCTCTTTGGAAGAACGGAAGTACTAACGTGCTTTGTGAAAATTGCGGAGCAACTAAATACAACCACAGGTGGCGACATTAAATGAACTTCAATGACGGTTCTCGAACAAGTACGTCGGTGTCGCCAAAACATGGCCAGCTGGAGCACAACTCAGCCCATGATGCGCGGTGTGTGGAGAGATCGACGGTTTTGACACGGCGCCTGGGTGCGATGGAACCCGCTGATGGCTGCCATCAGCTGATATGAGGTCATATTTTGAGATTACGGCGGGCGATTAAGGCTCCCTCGGGCGTCCTGATGGACCATTCGTTGCGGCGAACGCTCACGGCCACAGCTGGCCAACTTGTGGAACAGTTTAACGTCGTTTTCGCGGACTTTTACGCTGCGCTCTATCTGCCGCTTTTCTTGCCCTTCTTTGTCGCAGCTCTCTTGTTTTGTTAGCGTAACTTTCCATTCCTTGGGACGATTATTTGCTTCCTACGTGTCAGCTTGCGCTTCTCTTGTGTAATTTTTCAACAACTCTAGCACCCACGCAAGCCTGCGGTATGACACCGCGCGGCGCTCTCTCGCCAAAATTTGGCAGAGCTTTTCTCTGTTCAGGTCGTTGACTCGTTCATCCTGCTCCGCTTCCCCATTTGCAGGCCACTAGACCCAACATGAGCTCCAGATTCATCGCCGCGGGGCCGTCGCTGTACCGGCGCGGCGAAACTCTGGACAAATCCCGGGCTCCATGTCCAGCACTCAAACCAACATCGCCACCTAAGGCTAGAAGCCATGGAGCCAGACCCCAGCGAGCTGCGGAGCTCGAGCAGCCAATCAGCGTGCGAGGGAAAGAATTAAGGCGCGACGAGCGCTACGGTTTCACAACCCCGACCAAAGCAGATTTCTGTAGGACGCTGAAACCTTAATGGCGGTCGATGGTTCGCGAACCATGTGGATTAAACTTTGAAACTAGGATTGGACCGCTTGCTGTCGGCTCAGTGTGCTGAAAGGCTGACGAATAGTCCGGGCAAATGTGCTGAAGGAAAAGAGGGCAGTGTGAGCACGGAAAACGAAATGAAAGACCGCGAATCATCCTCTTCTGCTCGCAGTTATGGTCACGCCACGAAACTTCTAAACGGGATCTTTTCGTGCAGGCTTGTATTTTTTAGTCGTAAGATTCATACGTTGGCGCTCACGTCATGACTTAGAAGGATAGGATTATGTTGTTTGCATATATATATATATATATATATATATATATATATATATATATATATATATATATATATATATATATATATATATATTGCCCATCTGATAAGCACGAGACGCTTGAACCCGACACCAGGGAGGCTATTTCTGACAGCATTGCACACTGTTGCAAGGGACGGGACATGATGCAGAATTTACACAAGGGTAGGTAGGCTGCACATGGGTAACGTGATTCCCTTGTCCTTTTGGGCGTAATAAAAATGAAGTCATGCTAAATGTTGTGCAAGAAGTCAGCAGAAACATTAGGAAGTAAGTTATCAAAGCATTCCCTTACCATACGTTAAAACTTTTATATAAAAAAGAACTTCACCTAGTACACAGCAAGCTATTCAAAGTATTGTATAATACAAACTTAAAACAGCAAATGAAAGTTAATAAAATATAGTATCCTGCGTGATTATAGCATGATCATAATGCGCGCGATCTAACGCGTATCAGTATCTATATTGTGGTTGAGCAGACGGACCTCAAGGGACGACAGGCTTATGGCCCCAATATTCCGTTGAAGAAGTGCTGGCGGATAACAAAGATAAATTACTATAATCATTATTAGTGCGTGCTATGGTGTATGCATACCAAATTTCCTTAAACTCATGAACTGTATTTTGGGACATTTCACACTCGCATCCTCACTCATAACGATGGCAATGTAACATCTCAAGACAAGACAGCTGGACCGCGTTTCCAGCCTAGGCCATTTTTGTGGAACCCGTCGACTGAAGGAGTTTACGGAGGATCGTGCCACTCACCTTAATGGCGGGAGACGGCGGGCGGGCTTTTTCAGCCGACGAAATGAGCGAATTTGCATTGACTTGTGATTCCATTGATTCCGACAAAAACAATGGTGAAAACGCGGAAGACGTTGAGTGGATACTGATCGCAAGTCCACATCACAACGGCTGCATGATTTTAAATGCCAAATATACGTCAGTGTTGTGTGGGAAAGTTTGCATCCCACGAACACGTTTCTAACGCGTCAAATGATAATTTCTTGTCATTTTCACCAAACCCACAGATTAAGCACCGTCTAACTAACAAGATAACTAGCACATGATACATAAACGTTTGTCATGCAGATGGCTTTAAGTTAGCATCTCCTTTGGCTGTGAAGGTACGACGCTCATGTTTAAGATAATACACCGGTCGATCGACGGTCTAGTCGCCGCTTTGTCTGATACTGACCACTTATGCATTTTTGGCCATATTCCAAGATCACAAGAAAAACGCCTGGTGACACTGTTACGAGTAATACTACAAATAATCGCAACATGAACTTCACTTGATCACGCTGCTTGCTACTGACAACTTCAAGGCTTTGCAATCGACGTCTGCTAGTGAGACTGTTCGGAGCGTAACTGTGGACGAGCGACTGGTGTTGAGAACTTCACGGATTTACAATCAGCGTCTGCCAGTGAGCCTGTCCAGAGCGTGACTGCCGGTGTCGGGACGTGTGGCATCGGATCGCACTGGGCCGGGCTGGGCCGCTGAAGCCACACTTATTCAGGTTAGTTAGTGTAAGAAACGCTCGACCCGCGGCTTCGCTCGAAAAAAGATGGGAATTTTCTTTTTGTGAGCACGGGTGTCAAGGGCTTCTTCGGTCATTTTCCAATCTTGTGATGCATTTTGTGAGAAGCTCAAATAGTCATGCATTGAACCGCTTGAAAGTGACATTCATTCTCGCACATCTCCCATGTCTTCACACTGATTGTTCAGCTGGCTGGAGGACGCACCGCTGGAGTTTCTTGATGACCAACACTCCGAGCGGGTTTTCTTCTTCTGCCCAGTGGCCTAGTGCCCTTTTCTGCGGAATATATTTTCAGACGGTCTGATCCGTTTGATTTGTTCACGCAGTTAAACGGATAATCTTGCCACCTAATATATAAAAACGCTCGCGCACTTTTAAACAGAGTGTGCTGGGCTTACCTTCATGAATGTGATAGAAATCGTCATGGTTGCACGCGAACTGTCGTCATCGCAGCTGTCACAGCATGTCAATTATATGACTTTTGGCATCACTTTGCTGCAGGACATTATTAAAGCCGTTCACTGGCTGCGAGTATGTAAAGGAACCTGTGACCACGTGTGTGATGCATTTGTCATAGAGCGACCAGACCTCCATGCCTCAACTCGTGTAGAAAATTCCGCAGAAAAGGGCACTAGGCCACTGGGCAGAAGAAGAAAAACCGCTCGGAGTGTTGGTCATCAAGAAACTCCAGCGGTGCGTCCTCCAGCCAGCTGAACAATCAGTGTGAAGACATGGGAGATGTGCGAGAATGAATGTCAGTAATAATATATAATATGTGTAACATAATAATATAATAATATATAACATAATAATGTACGTATAATAATAATACAAAAGTCAGACGGAGCATCGCTGTGAGATGAACAACCGGATTTGCACGTATAGTTATAATCACTTATCATAGATAAAAAAGCTATTCATAGCCACGTTTGTTAGAATATACGTCATTGCACGGTTACAGTAAGCGCAGCAGTTTTTAATTCTTAGATTTGGGCAAAGGCAAGCATTTGAAGCTCCGGCTTTTATGTCACATTCTCCCAACCGGCGGGAAAATTGTCCTCCAGACGTGGAAATATTTTCCCTTTCAAGAACGTCTCGAAGCTGCCCTGACTTTTGGGACAGCTGTGCACCAATGCAGTTACAGACCATTCCGCAGGTGGTTCGAAGTATGTGCGAAGCGTTTTCCTAAGGCTACAGACGCTGAATGACCAATCGGAAATAGAAGCTCTGGTGAACCTGTGGGTAATACACCTTCACACTGGCCTCTTAAATTGCAAAAACTAGTGCAATGTGATTCAAAATAGCAAAACCACAGTTTAGGCTGACCATTGGTCGAACGTTCGCAGATGCTGACTTTCCAACACTGTTTACATCTTCCAGCATAAAACTGCCAATATCCTGAGGATCTCATGAGAACATGGATCAATGGAAATTGTGGGGAGAATATCCGATTTAAATGTTTTCACTAGAATACAGTGCAATAGATGCACGCGACTCGAGATCACTGTCAATACCAAAATAAATTTAATCTTCGCCGGCTGGATAAGTGCAACCTTGCAATTAGACATGTTTGGAATGCGTGGTGTAATACTGAGTCTAAAATCGTGAAGTCAGTCGAGATTCATAACTAAGAATATTTATTTTCTGAGCTATAAATAGGATCAAAACTGAGCATTACAAACATAATTTGGCACTAAACGCGGTTTGGCATATTGTGTCAATCTCGACATCACATAAGCAATTCTCCAACTCAGGTCGTGGTCGCCAAATCGAATATACAGCACTGTTTTGCGCATTTCAGTACTATATCGCTTTCAGATATCACACAACTGCCATGACATGTTTAATATTGCCGCCCATCGGCTCATGAACAGTGTCTCGGCCCACAACGCGGCTCGGTGGGTGTCTTGTACCGCGACAGCAGATTTCAGCCCCTTCCTGGCGGTCAGGCGAAAATAGCAGCCTAGCCAAGCTGCTGCCAACGACAAACTTCAGACTCTGGTCGAGAGTCACCGACCAGTCTGTAACCTGCGATTAATCACCGGTCACCAGCTTAGAGTGCGGCCCAGTCACCGGTCAGAGGCTAGCCAGCGCCCGGCCAGCCACTTCTCTTGCCATGCGCCGCTTCGCCGAACCCTCCACCCTTTGCCCCGGGGCTCCCGGCGCCTCCGGCAGCCATCGCAGCTACCTCGCCTCCCACTTACGGTGCGCCGGCGCGTAGATGTTGAGGTAGAGGCAGTCCTCACTCTGGTTGGCGAGCTGGCCGCGGAGTCTCAGCACACGCTCGAAAACGGCGCGTGGCATGCTCCGCAGCGCGTCGGCCTCTTCCAGCGGCGGCAGCTGCTGAGGGCAAACGCGGCCCGGCTGCATCGCGCTGCGCACGCCCCGCCAGGGCGACGGCGTGCGCGTCGGCGAGAACCGGTTCGAGCCGACCGGCGGCGTGGCGTACGGCACGCCCAGGAACACATTGACGGGGCGCAGCGCGTGACCGGCGGCCACCTGGTGACGCTGGAACGACCGCAGGTAGCCCTGCAGCTGGCCGTACTCGGTGGTGACCAGCTGGCCGGGCAAGCCGCCGCCGGCGCAGGCCAGCAGCGCCAGCAGCGCGGCCAGGCGGGGCCGCATCGTCGCGCGCGACGGGCGCACTCACATGGCAGCCGGCGCACTCGCTCCGAGGCGGCACCGGCCGACGACTGGCCGCCGCCGCTGCCGACGGCTGCGCCGCGCCGCCCCGACCCCAATGACGTCACACGCGGGCCCGAGTGACGTCGTGCGCCAGTTCGACCGGAGTGATGCCACTTGCCGTCCTGGAGGATCGTCACTTCTAACCGGTCTGCAACTTGTCCAGTCGACCTGGGTCGTCAACGGGCAGCGAGTGGGTGTCGTCCCGGTGCATGGGTGACGTAATAGTGCAGTCCCGACAGTGATGTCAGGCAGAGACCGTGCCAGTAGTGAGCACGGCTTGCTGCTGGATGTCTAGCTGGGTGTTACTCTGACACCCCATAATCCGTCTTAATAGTCATGATGACGTCCACGATGGACGTGGTGACGTCCGCGATAGCCGTGATGACGTCCGCGATGGACGCGATCACGCGCAACGGACGCTGGGCGATGACGCACGTCATTACTGACGTCTGACGCCCATAACTGGCGCGCAGCGCGCTAGTGACGATCGCGCCGTTTGCAATAACTGGCAAACGCGAAGGTCGTCATGCCGGCTTTTATTTGGCATGTAGGCCATCTGCCCGAGAAATCGATGCTATCCCTAGACTGCTAGCACACAAACTGACTTCTTAGAAGTCGTAAATCTTTGGCTCGTCTGCGCACGGCAGAAAAACGCGTAGCGGCTCCACGCCAATACCAACGAGTTCCGGCATGAAAATCTTCAGAGGCGTTGTTACGGAAGCGGTCATCAGTCGTTGTCGACGCTGTTGCCACGGTTGGACTGTGGTGTTTGCTGGAAACATAGCAAATCTGTCAGCAAAAGCAGTTAGTGGCTTTAACCCACCGCCAGCGACCTTGTTGCTCGTTTTTCGTCCATTTTTTCGTGTTTACATTCAAACCAGTTCATATTTCCTTCATGTAACGTGTTTGCGAACTTTTGAGCACGGCACATGGCACAAACAAAAATGGTATATTATTCGACAGCTGATTTCATTGACTTTTCGGTTCCATGGCAGCGTTGTGCCAATGTCTTTTGGAAAAGGTATAGCATCAAGTTGCTCTGAACTTCAACTGCCCGATGGCGTTTGCCACTTCCGCCCCAATGTTGGCGTTATCACGCCCAAGTGATGCCTTGGCTGGGCCACTCGTGGCAACCTGCTCGAGGATGGAATAAAACTTGTCTTGCGTGAACACGACACATGACCTGTAAATACAAACGCTTTCAGTGATTGCTTGATCAACATTTCAAGACGACCTCGGATGGTGTGAGGATGGGTTGGATGGCCTTAACTGACCTGCTATGACCCACAGCCAGCAACACATGCGTTCATTTCTCAATAAGGTTAAACCATATTGCACCATACAAAAAGATAAAGGAAGTCTGAGAAGCAACTGCTTTATGACTGCTAACATCGAACCAACCTAGAAGGACCGAACGTTTCAAATAAACCACTACCACCCCGTAACACATGTCCAGACCTGTGCGCCAGCAAATTCCCTATGAAAGCATACATGAATGCCAAAGAGGCGCGTAAGCCCAGAAAATGCTGTGACAATGTTGGCTTACTGGATCAAAGGCACTGAAAGATTTATCCCCTAGCAGCTAAAGCAGGATGAACATTGCACTGCTATATTCAGTCTTTGTAAGTGAGACGCATATCATGTTTAACTTGAGACTGACATTGGGGGGCTTCCATGCAGGACCTCGAGGTAATATTCTGCCGGCCTTGCGGGACAGGTCACGGTATTGATGTGCTGAAGCACGGAGGCTGCCATGCAGTATAAAATAAAAATGGCATTAAATCCATATAATCCATACCCACATTTCATGTAAATCATCACACACAATTGACCTGTGACGGCATGCTAAATTCTGTCATGCGTTGCCGACCATTGGTTACCTCTTATGCGCTGAATGGAGCCCTCAGATAGCATGGAAATATCACATGCTGGTTCATGGCGGAGATAGTGAGACATATCAACGGCCTACATGGCGGTCAATCTTGGGGACACAATGGCCTGCAGGAACATGAACAGACACAAGATGTGTCGTAACCAATAGTACCGTGGACATTTAATAAAGACTTTGTCAACGAAGGAGCACAAACATTTTTACTGCTGAATAAGGAACAAATATTGCAAAGTACTGACTGATAGCAATCATTCGTGTACGATCTCAGGGGAAGAAATAGCAGCCTATATTTCCCGAAGTAAGAAACCAGATACCTATAGAATAAGATTAAATGCAGAAAGAAGACCATATATAGCATTTTTACACAATTAACTTCCTAAAATATGCACAAAGGTGGAACACCCTTCAAGCTTAAAGCCAGCACTGTATGAATATCGACGAAGCATAATACCTTCCGAGTCGTAGATCTACAGATAGCACAAACATTTCATTTGCGCCCACTGTCCCGATAGGAATATTCCTTTGATTTGTGTGTGGCTGCGAGGTCACCATGGTGATAGAACAAGTATTAATTGTGCAAATGGTGCTCGAGCCGTCCAGGCGGTGGGCCCAGCCGTCACCAGTTAGGTGGCACGAGCAGAGCCCCAAGAAAATTGGGTTGTTTTTCATCAGCCAATAATCACTACTTGCAGCTTTCCGCATAAAAGTCTGAACGGCGGAGTACTCCCAAAAGAAACGTTTGTATCAAATTTCGCCAGCTGACGGCGACCAAAGGTGCATACTGATATTTATGTACATCTTATGTACTGGTTAGGTGGCATGCAGCGTCATTTGCACTGCTGTTGGTTGTAGCCTCGACATCCAAATTACAACAAAAGTAACCCGTTGAGTTGTTTTTAGCTAGTAATGTCACAACCCTAAAGTGGAATGTAATGGGAAACGTTTAAATGATTTACTTGTAGGGCGCATGGGGTTCATTTTGCCGCACTTCACCCTGAGTGAGCGTGTTGTGTCTTATGAGGTTTTCACGACGCAAAAATTGACCTAGACCGCAAGCTTTCATTTGAGCCCTCGTCCGCGTACGATGCCACCATGCATGCTGACATCTGGAGTGCGGGTTGGAGGTGGGGAGGGAATAATCCGGCCCGCGCAAGCATTTCAAAAGAAACTCATCGCATCGAAACATGGCAAATAGAATGAGCCTGCCAAAGTAAACCTGCGCGTCCGTTTTTTTAGAGCAACCAATCAAAATTAAGAAAACTGTCTTTCTGCTCTATCCACCCGCACCGTGTGCAATATCGCTACTTCAGTGTACGTTTCTGGTAACGCCATTAATAAAAAAACTGGAATAATTAGACATGGCATAATGAAAATGGAAATCGGTGGTGAGAAAACTGTCTTTTCTGTCACCGACGACATTTGGAACCGCCTAAGTCATCACCTGTAGCCAAATATTTTAGAAACAGCTACATTACAACTCTGAATGCAACTAATCACAAAAGGCATAGCCACCTAACATTTTCGTATCGGGAATTCATTTGCACTGAAGTATCATTTACTGCCCATTAAACACTGAGTGATAAATAATACTACTCACAGAATCATCAGAAAAAGGCTTACTTAAAGGGAATGTTCCACTTTTACATGGGTTTTGAACTGAAATAGCCGTCTTGAGCACCTTTTGATGCAGTTTACTGTCATGCCCTTTCAAGACCCAAAACGCTCTGGTTCCTGAGTTATACGCCCGCAAAAGAAGGGAAAGGTTTATTGGGAGACTATTTGAAAGTCACCTTGGCATTGATGACATCAGAGAAGCGCCATACAATCGCCGTCATATTTCAGGCCGCTCTTTGCTCATGATCAATAACAGTATTGTCGCTGATACATTCGCAAAAGCGATGGTGCAGCACATATGATACAATCTGCGGAAGGTGATTGGCTGTTGGTAAGATTTCGCTGCTAAATGCTTGTCGCGAACGTAAGCGTGAGCACCTTCGGATTGTGCAGCACTCGTCGCCAACCGGGCATTTGCCCCTATTTCTGGGCCATAAGCCAGTGGTATAAAAAAGAACGCCACTGTCTGCGGTAGGAAAGTATGGCACCGAAAAAAGAACGGCACTTTCCAATGTTAAAAAAGACGCGATGGCAAAGCTGTCTTTTGGCGTTGTTTCTTCCTCTACTGATTTAACTTTTACAGACAGCCCGGCTGGCGCATGATACACCGGAGCAAAGAGCCTTGCACGGGTTTTTGGGTATAGCAATACATTATAAAATAAGGGGAATATCACAGTAATTTTGGAGATATATTTTACTAAATATCTAACACATATTGTACGACAAACTTAGGTTATGAACAAAAAAGTTGTGCCATACAAGCAAAACACTTTGAGTCGCATTACCGTGAACCCCCGTTGAGACTTTGTCTTGGAGGAAACTTACGGTGAAAGGCGGTGTTATAACCGAGAAACTGGGCGGAAATTTGAGAAAACCTGCAAGTTGATAGCCCCGCGGGCTGCGCAAGTGTGAGATGAAACTTTTTTGACATGTGTGAATCAGGCGTCTGAAATGGGTGTGCCCACTGGTGGTGCTTGCCAGTGGCTTGTAGTGATCTTGATGTGATTGCGACTGTGTGTGCGTGGTTTGTACTTCTGAGAAAGAACATTGTTTTGGTAATCTTTAAGTGTAGTGACTTCCAATAAAGTGTGATATATCGATACCTGCCTCTATCTATGTGTATGCGTTTGAGCATTACGAGGTAGTGATGTCAGCAAACTGAAAGAAACACGAGCATTTTTTGTTGCAGGGTTGTACAAAGGCAATTTGGTACTTCATTATGATCTTGCCAAAATTTTGAACCTATTGAGGTATTACAGCATGTCATTAACCTAGTGAGGTAGAACTGCTTTTGAACCAGGGTGGGAGTGACAAACTTCCATCGCAAAAAGGCCGTACGGAGTGAAAAATTAAAGCCACAAAACGTGAAACTTATGGGCCAGTGAGACATTCTTACGGGAAGAACGGCATACGTTTCAAGTTGGCATGGCTGTAATATCATAAGCCTGATAACATTGTTTTGTTTTTTAACGTCTTAGGTCATTTTAGTGGAACAAAATAGAGTAAAGCACAGTTATTTCATAACAGTGCGATGCACATCAAAACCTATGAAACACCAGTGTTTTGATGCTGCACTTTGCACTTGTGCAAAGTGGGCTGATGCACCCTTCCACAGGATTTTTAACACAAAAGAAAGCAATGAAAGTCAAAAACAAAGCAACAGAAAATTCAACAAACTTAAATCATTCAAACAAAAAAAACTTGGACTTCTGCACATCAGCCTAGCACCAAGTCAAACACAACAGACATAACTCTGGCTTCTGTTAAGATGGTGTCAGGAAATACAAACGTTATGCAACTGTTTCTTACAAAATAGCAATGCTTATTTCCATGAAAGTGACCTAACTAAGCCTAACCTAAGGAGGTCTTAGCTCATGTCACCCTGTCTAACCTGTTTGTATCACAGCAGCATTTGTGAGTCACTGATTCTTGCAC